GGGGGGGTAAGCACATCTACACCCGGCTTTCAAACATTCGGGTTTGAGAGCAAAAGAAATGATCTCTTATTCATCTTTTAATGAATGAACTTTTTAAAACTAGCCAGGTCATCCGTCATTGTAATTTTTGATTCAACAAGAAAAGCTCAAATATGTCGACTGTGTCAGATATGTAAGAGTTTACTTTAATCGTGGTATAATGATTCTTGTTTCCTAATAGTCATAATATATTACTTCATAAATATTCAAAAAAAATCAAAATAGCAAAATAAGGGGCTAAGATCTGGATGGAAAATAGTATATTTCAATAATGAACTGATACGCGATCATGAATGTTATTACTTCTGATCAATTGTATTAATTAACCAATGATTTATTTTTAAAAAATAGCAAACGTAAAATTGTTGATTCCACTCAACTTTCTTTTCGAACTACAATGAATCAGTTCAACAATGATTTAATTTGAGGAATAAAAAAAAAATCGAATGGAAGTTGACTAGATGCCGGCAGAAAAGTGGAATATTTTTTCTGCCTTTAAATAATGTGAAATTGGTTTATGTAGTTATGGTAAAAACAATTACAGTAATTCATGTGGAATACACGTCAGGGCCCGTCAAAGGGTTGGCCCAAGTTTTGGGACACCCTGTACAAACACATGCATGTACAAACTCGGTGTGTGCATGTGTGTGTGTGTGTGTGTGTGTGTGTGTGTGTGTGTGTGTGTGTGTGTGTGTGTGTGTGTGCGCGTGTGCGTGTGTGTGTCAAATCACCTTCTCTGATTGCAGTGAACGGCATACCCTCCTCTGTCTTTGTCTGGATCACCTTCAACGCCACGAGCTGCCCATTGATCCTCCACAAACCAAGTAAACATCATCATCATCACCATCATCATCATCACCATCATCATCATTATCATCGGCTTCATGCACAGTAAGTCAGAGGTGTGAACAAACAATGCAAAAAAAACATACTAGTACGTACCACACTGGAGGCTCCATATAACCAAACGTTTCATTGCACTGAATCGATTTGCGACTTTCAATGTTACAAACAAAATTGTCTGTGACAACCAGAAAAGCCCAACTGCGATTAATTCAATGCACTGAGCATGAACTGGCCATGATGACTAAGAATATTTAAAGCAGGCATGGCGCAATGATTTTTTTTCTCTCTCCTGGGATTCAGGGGTGGCTTGACCAATATGTGGGGGACAGAGAAAAAAATATACAGTATATGTTCACTAAGTGAAATAATGAGTAATCATTGTTTATTAGTAATGTTTATGGTTTTATTATGTGAGGGATTGAGACATACATACCAATACGTTTGAAAATTAAGTAAATTTAGTTGTTTAGAAATATTTATGGCTTTATTATTATGCAGTACTGTATCTGCAGTGTATGGTTTCCGTTTGCCACTTTTGTCCTATAATACCTCGGGGGGGGGGATTGACGTGGGAAGTAAATATGCTGTTTCTAGCGTTTAGCCCACAATTTATCACCAGTTTCAAACGTACTTTGCAAATACCTCCAAACTTATTTTGAAAATTGGTCTGAACGTGGACGAACTGATCTAAACGTGAAAAGAACTGAAAGACTCCCTGCACTCACAAACATGCACACACGGGGTATAGCTGCAGCACACACACGGGAACAGCAATTGTATTATAAGAGATTGACTACTTGTGAACTTGTTTTTCAACGTCAATAAAAATATACATTGCTGAGGGACCTGAACGGGAGCTCGACATATTTCCGACGGGGCTATAGCACCACCTAGCACCGATGTAGCGCCGTGCATGATTTAAAGACATACCCATCCATTTTCAACACCGTTTATCCTGAACAGGGAAGCGGAGTGGCCGGGTGGCAGGCCACACCATGAACTGGTCGCCGGTCAGTCGCAGGGCATATCTAGAGACCAACAACCATTCACACCCACATCGCTGAGAGGGGAATCAACCCAACACAAGGTGAGTACACTACTTTACCACTTACTTAAAGGTATATCACCACCTTTTTTATTTTCACTTGTCATCTTTCTACAGCAGCTCTCTTCTTCCTTCTGTCATGATTCGGTTTGGGACCAACGGGTAGCATTGTACTTATATTTTTATGGTTTATTAGTTGTTGTTTTTGAATGGATGGCTTTATTTACGAAACGGCAAAAGGAAAGATGGATTCCGTTTGAACGCAGCTTTAGTGAAAGGACGTCTGTACCGCCGTACGGTCGTAAACACACCTCGCGGTAACTCAATCACTTCCTGCTTTCCCTTACTTTCAACAGCCAATCAGAAGCTATCAACATAAAAACATGTCGAAGCAATTATTAAACAACAAAATATCATTTAGGCCATCTAAACATGAAAGAATATGATGCTCAAACATAGAATGATAATAATTAATCATATAACGTAAGCTTACATTCGTAAGAACCGACATGGCTGCCGCGAGACACAAAGATGTTGTTGCTGTTACTGTATTGTTTTTTATTACACTAAATTTGTATTTCTATGTAAGTAAATAGTATGAATACATTTTCCACCTCTGTAGTATTTTACATCAAGCACCTTCAAATCTGACAGCCGGCCATGTGATTTCTCACCTGCTGATGCCTTTATATACAGACGCGTAGGAGCCTTCACCAAGTTTCTCCAGGCTCACGTACGAGTTGGCTGTTCCAAACTGAAGTCCCGGTTTCTGATATCGCACACACACACACATGCACACGAATGCTATTGAAACACAAGCCTATGGGTCAGTGGTGCCGCTAAATGTCACCTGCGGTGTAAAATTGAGGATGAGCGTCAGCTGACCCAGAAAAAGGGGTTTTGGCAGTTTGTCTGGCTCCATGGGTCACTGTTGCTGCGGTCTCTCTGCACTCGAAGCCGTCGCATCTGCAGCGTGTGAAACCAGTGAGGCTGCGGGCCACTGTCTGGATTCAGCTTGGCCAAACAGAAAGAAAGAAAAATCTGAAATCTGAAGTTAATTATTGATGCTTCAAGATGGGGTCAAAGCACTACCCTTGTCTAAATGGAACTCTACAACTCACTTCATCATAGTTCCTTGGCACCAAGATGCCACTAGATGGGCTACTGTGCTGTCATTTAAAACGTATGACAGTAAAAGCTCAGTGGATGTTGGAAGCCGACCGTCCACTGTAAAACGGGTTCACCAGCTTGAAAAGAAAATGGGAAGACCGCTTTTGTTTCTTATCGTTTCATCGGATACCTCAGAAACCGGCAGCGATGAAGAACTGTTGCTCTTCTTCACGGCCCTTTCCTCCATTCTCAACACCTCCACCTGTTCCTCTTCCTCTTCCTCCCCCTTCCATGGACCTTTGCCCCCCTCATCCTCCTCGACCTCGCCACAGCAGCAGCACCTCCTCATCCAGCGGGACAATCCGTCCATTGCTGTTTCTTCTTCGTCTTCTTCTGCTGCTCATATGACCAACGTGCTGTCTGGAGGAGAGCAAACATGGTCTC